TTAAAAAAACTAAAAAAATGGGGGTACCTCGGTGGCCCACCTGGTAGAGTGCCTACTATTAAGTCTTAGTCCTAACTGTAGTGGCCTAGAGAATTTAGATGATGTATTAACCGTCCACTTTAAAGGAGGTGTTCAATGTTTGAAATCTGTGTGTGTGTGTGTGTGAAACATGCAACACATGAAAATCTGTGTAATGGCTGAAAAAGGTGCAGTTAGGTACAGAAGAATAATCACCCATGTGATCACTGTATGATTCAAATATAAACACTCCAATAAATTCCTGACCGGTGCAGTCAAAATGAAAATTTCATCTCAGAGATCATTGATTCACTTCATCTCTTCTCCTTTTCAGTTTTTCCCATAAACAACAGCCTTAAACCCTTGACAGTAGATTAAAAGCAGACCAGAAAGAGTTTTAAATTCAAACATCTGAAGTGTTGAGTTTTGAGACAGTTCTTTAACCACAGTAAAAAAAAATAAAAAACAAAAAAAAGAAGCAATTGTGATCACCTAACTGATGGAAACATATATTAACTGAATTTATCAAGACAGCAGGTGAACATGGAGGACTGCTCAGTTTGTATTAAAGTAAAGTAATCTGTACCTTTTTCACATTAAATTGTCTGGAAATGACTAGACTTATGTTCTATATGTTGTTGAGTTTTGTTCTTACATCATCACAAATGTTTCCATCAATTCTCAAACCAGAGAAATCTGATTTTTAATAATGGTAACATTTCATTGGTCGCCTGTCAGTGACATCATATCCTCTATGATCATGTGTCAGTGTGTTTGTCTGACAGAAGCTCATCATTGACTTTTATCTAGTTTTAAGCCACATACACTTTTTACACCTTGGTGGTTTTCAGCTCTGTATTTGAACCAGATGAAGGATTTTAGTCGTCGGACGTCTGGATCTGAAGTTATCAGATAAAACAAGCTGTGGATAATTCAGCTGCTGGTAAAAACCTGCTGAACGTCTGCTTCATAAATTATCAGAAAAACAATCAGAACAAAGGTTAGCATCGATCTCAGCTCCAGCTCTTCCCTGAGTCTCTGTCCTCCGTCCAGCGTCGCTCAAACACTGACTTTAAATGACAAACTGCTTTATTCAGTGTTTTTAACGGTTAGAATCACCAGGTCTGTTTGATTTCCTGAACCTCTGACACTGAAGGAACCCAAACCGAGAGGAGCTTACAGTAATGGTGGTGAAGACAACTCCAATGATCCCACATTAGTTCATGACGTCATCCAACGCTGTCTTTTGTGATTGTTTTGATCAAGAGACCCCTAGAGGCAGAAGTTACAGACTGTGTTTAACACAGGGGCAGATCAGAAAATAGAGAGGTTTCTGAAAACAATATCAGAAAATATACTTATATAAAATGGGGGATTAGGAATAAAGGACTGTATCTGATATGAAAAAAAAAAAAATCATAGTTCTCTCCACAGTCAGGATAATTGAATAATAATAATTTACAGTAATATAACATGTGTGAGATGTTCAGTAATCCTCCACAGGTTATTTGCTGATGGTTTTCTCTTGGATGTAAATAACTGAGCGTTGTCCTCAGCTAAAACATTGTTATCTTTTGTCCTCTGCTGGGAAAATTGGATTCATGTGTTTTGCTGAGGCTTTTGTTTGCACGGAGACGATGAGCTTCATGACAAATACCTAACAGCCAAATGAATTGGCTTGGCTGCATAAAAGACCAGGTGCATCTGCAGCCCTGAAAATGCCATATGCAATTTCTGAGCAGCACAAACAAAATGGTCATTGAGTCCAGTTCAGTGGGATTAGACCCAGCAAATCCACTCTGCAAATTAATTACAGCTTGGACGAGATGGAGTCCAGAAGGTGCTCTGGTTCTCCAGGAGAATGCAGAGTGGCCCGCCATGGTTGAGAGGACCCACATATATACAGGCTGTCTTTATATCTTATGACCACAGGGGACAATAAATCTGAAAGAAAAAAGTGTGCCACTTTATTAACACATGCGGGTTAGATAACTAAGTAACCCAAGGCCAAGTTTTATGACATTATTTCTCTTTATTGTGGGAAGTATTTAGAGGTCTTTTTATATATGAAATCTTTTGAGAAAAATGACGACTTATATCCGTGCTGAAGTTTATTGGCATTTTCTCTGTAGGCCTGTACAGTTACAGGGATGTTTATATGAGCCTATGTCAAAAGGAGACCAACACTCTCCCAGCTTGGTAACTGGTTGTTATCAGATGACAGATGGTATCATACTGGAAAGCCATCTTTTCCCCAACACGGATCAATGCATGTAATGTGAGCTATAATGCCTCTGGTTCCCCGCCATACTGTAATAACTGGAGGTCTCCGAGGCTGTCTGTTTTCCCCACTGAGATTCTGAAAAGCCATTGTATTCTTTAATGATCTTCAACCAAGGCCTCCCCCCTCCCCCTTTGGGAGCTGAGGTACCTAAGATGTAGTGGTGGAGAGAGTGAGAGCTTCATCTTCTCTCAGAGCATTCATCCGTCTGCCTCTCTACAGGATTCAGAGCTGCTTGTTCATATTTGAATCAGTCAGAGACGAGGAGAGGAAATTGCTACTGACTTGAATTAGATACAGAGTTACACAGAGTGCAGGCTGCCCTGCTCTACTGACAGTATTGATCGAAAGATCTCTTTGTACTCCCCCGTCTTTAGATCAACACTTTGATGCAACTCCTAAAATGTAAACCACCTCCTTCTCACTGATCCTCATTGGATCTCTCTATTAAAGGGAAATCTACCATAAATCACTTTCTACGGAAACAGCTATTGAAGCTGTGTTTCTGGGCAAAGTTTGTTAGTGGAATTAATTAAATTGTGAAAAGCGCTGCGTTTTCTTTCAAGAGTTTTTTTTTTTAAAAGAGGTCAGTGGTTCTACTTGTTCCAGAGTGTCAGGCTCTGACTGTGAAACCTCTGTCACCTCTGGTTTTTAGCTTTGCCTCAGGAACAATAACAGACCTCTAAAAACATACTGGGAGCCAGTGTCATGAGGCAAAACCAGTGTGATGTGGTCACTTCTCCAGGATCCTGTTCAAAGCCTAGACCGGAGTTCTGCTCAGTCTAGAGCTCATTGATAGATTTGTAGTTGAGGCAGGTGATGGGCGTAGGTTTGGTCTCATCATTGGTAGAGACGCAACAACCTGTGATAAAATAATGTTAATATCAGAACAGGTGGACTATGGTTATCTTAAATATAAATTAGCAATTTATAGATAATCCATAATAGTTTATATTTAATCACAACCCAATGAAAACAATCTGTTTCCTCACCGCTGATCGACTTACTACAAAATAATTCATTCATTGCGACGTTTTCATGGAATTTCTCGCCTAAAATTCAACTCATACTTTGACATATCCACGTGTCTGTCACATATACATGAGGCTGTAGTCTTTCTATATTTATTTTATCTAAAGTAAAGATGGTAAACTTGACCTACTGTGGTGTAAAAATAAAAATACAATAAAAAGGAAAATAAACATTTCTCAAAAAAGTATGTACTTGTGTGCTGTGCTTGTTACTGTGGACAGACAGAACAGATTAAAATATCGTGTTCTAAATGTTCATATTTATGCAGGTTGAGCAGGTGTATTATAAGTTTTTATTGCATTTACAGTAACTACCCGAGTTGATGTAAACTACACTTGTAATCTTCAGGTTATTTGATTCAAGTAACTGCTGGTGGGTGGGTGTGTTTGTGTGTGTGTGTGTGTGTGTGTGTGTGTGTGTGTGTGTGTGTGTGTCCCCTGATGAACACAGTAAAAACACAATAACGCAGATTCACGTTAAAAATCTGCATGTCTCCAACACAGGCTGTCAAGAGGGACAGCGCAGCCGGCTGGAATTGCTTCAATGTCAGGCAGTTTGGCTGCCAGCCGGTGCTTAGGGAAAACCCTGCATATGCAAACCTGGGCCCTTGGTTGCAGTAGTCTAGGCATGAGGAGATAAAAGCTTGTCTTTAAAAAATAAAATAGATTGAATTTTGGATGTATTTTTCCAAATGGTGAAAACAAGGCTACACAAGTTCTGTTGTGTGCTGCTCAAAATTTACATTGCTGTCAAACCAAACACCAAGATTTATTAATTAATCAATGGTAGATACTTTATTTATCCCCTAGGGGAAATTCATGTGTCCATTAGCTCATCAATGATGATGATGATGGTGATGATGCTGATAATAAGTTAATAATAAATAAACAATAATAATAAGATAGGTCCACCTTTGGCTGAGGTGTTGTATAGCCTGATGGCAGTGGGAACAAAGGATCTCCTGAACCTCTCTGTTCTGCAGCGCAGTGAGATGAGACGTTTGCTGGTGTAGCTGCTTCTCTGTCCTGCCAGAATGTTGTGGAGAGGATGGTTGGTATTGTCCAAGAAGGCCTCCATCTTACATTGCATGCGTCTCTCCACAACAGTCCTGAGTGAGTCCAGACTCCTGCCACGCACAGACCCAGCCTTTTTTACCAGCTTGTCCAGTCTCTTTGTGTTCTAGTCGGACATGCTGCTGCCCCAGCAGACTGCAGTACACTGTCCACCACTTACTGATAAAACATGTGCAGCATTTCACTGCAGACGTCAAAGGACCTGAGCTTCCTGAGGAAAAAGAGCCGGCTCTGCCCCTTCAGGTAGATGGCATCCGTGTTCAGGGACCAGTCCAGTTTACAGTCCAGGTGCACACCTAGGTATTTATAAGTGAGCACCACCTCAATGTCAACCTCGAATGTTGACTGGCTGAAGTGTGAGCCTAGACCTGAGGCAAACCAAAATCTAAAATTTTGCCACAGTACCTCAGTATTTAAGATAAAAGTCTATTTGTTTGTTCGTTTATATAAATGTTATTTAACGTGTTATTGTTTGTCATATTGATACTTTGTCCATATTTCCTTTTGGTTTGACACATATTTTCACAATGTTAAACTTCATCAAGCTCCTGTCAATCCTCATGTTGAATCCATTTCCTCCCTGACTTTACCCACAGTGAAACCCCTGCCACTCTCTCCACTGGAGGTCCAGTCATCAACACCAGTGGGAGGAGCAGGCGAGCGGCAGGCTTTAGAACTGCGGGTCCGGGCAGTGGAGGAGGAGAACCGTGCACTGCGGCGAGAGCTCAGTCGGCCACCCAGGAGCCCGTCGGCACGCCTTCCACACGGCAGGCACCGCGGCAACCAAAGCCGAACCCACTCAGAGGAGGGCACCGGCGACAATGAGGGCCAGAAAGCTGCTGCAGTGGGTAATAGCTCAGACTGTGTGCAGCAGCCAGTGGTCGATAAATGTGAGGTGAGACACATTTAAAGTGAATTTGTCATCGCAGTTTAAAACTACAAAATGTTCACTCAAAGCCTTTTTCTGCAGGATGCAATGTGAACTTGAAGCGAGTCTCCAGGAACTATTAGCACATTGTGAGACCATATCATAGACTGGCTTTAGCCTTCTATTAGTCCGATCAAGCAGCAGTGACGGTGTTTGCTGTTGGGATATTGCTTTCTGTCAGAAGCTTCAACATGGATATGCTGTGATCCCCATACTGATAGTACCTCACAGCACCACAGCACATCACTGTTCAGCTCATTGGTTAATCTTGTTGTCGGTGGACACTGTTTCTACATGACCTAACACTTAACTTTGACATTACCCAGATTTCCTGTCGCTTATCTACTGGCATCCTATGTGGCAGAACTGGTATCGCTTCAGCAGGCTATTATACTAAGCCCAGCCAATTTATTGGTTGGACTCCAATAAGTACCGCCGTTTAATGATGATCTTTGTTCACCCTATTGTCAACAAATCCAATGCTCAGTGCCAAACCAACTATGAATGCATGCTAACAAGTATTGAATGTATATCAGAGCCTCCATCACCATAAACAACACAACACACACATTTTTGACTCAATCCCACATACACCATCCTGCAGCTAGAAATAGTAACTGGAGTTCCAAATGTGGATTAATCCGCCACTGAATATAGTCCCCAACAAATACCCTTTTTTTTGCCTGAGTAACATTTATTAAAACTTAGTGACCAGCTGTTTAAGAAAATTACTGACCCTTGTTTGTTTTCAGTAGGAACGAAGTAGAAAGTGTTAGGAGCTGACAGTTATTTTCTTTTCTTTTTTGGAACTTTTTTTTTGTTGTTTTTTTGTTATTTTACAGAGCAATACACAATGAAGTGCCTGACATAGGACCACATACCCTAAAAGAAAAAAATGTAAATAGAGACACACACATTTCTCAAAGGGAGGCATTTGCAGCATATCGGTGTCCATTATAGAGGAATATAATAAGGACATTTTCAGTGACAATCCATTACAACAACCAAATTTTCTTTGAACAATCCATCTCACTCAGTTAAACATCTTGTTATGATACACACATCCACCTTTTTGTAAAAAAGCCTCCATTTTCAGTTGTAGACAGGGGATTCAGTCATTGGTTTCCATTACATAGACTCCCACTGAGTCTGGTTTTGTATCTTTCCAATTCACCATTATCATTTTCTTGGCAATCAGTAGAAGTATCTGTATTATATACCTCTGATCTGTGTCACACAGTCCTTTAAGGTTCAGCTCCTAAAAACAAAAAAAAAGGGAGAAATTAACTTTTATCTAGTTATTTTCTTCTGTCATTATTGTGAGACAGTAACAGCTGTTGGTTTTGGTCTTTTCATGATATTCACTGACGGTAAGAAAAAGACCAGACTGGAGTTTATGTTGGTGAAATTGAGGTTCCAGTCTGAACAGAGTGTCCCCAAGGAAACTAGAAATGATGAAAAAAAAAAAAATAGATACGAAGAGCCTATTGATGGGAAACAGCCCAAGCCCCTCCCTCCCTTGCAGGTCAAACTTTGAGGCTAACCAGGTTTGGTCAACATGCCAGCCTCCTGAACACCTTACAGGTGTGAGCGGTCTGTAGCAAGGCTCCCTTGCTCAGGAGGACTGACAGCTGCTTTGCCCTGGCGTTTCCTACACCCAGCATCTTCAGGATACGGTCATTCCCTGGATGCCACTTCCCCCTCGCTCCAATGGGGAAGCCACTTACAAGTACATCCCTGATCCCGCGTTAGAGGGTTGACAGTCTTTCCGTGCTCAGAATCAATTAGTGTGATATCTGAGACTTTGAAGCGAATAGCCACGTCCAGTACAAAGACTGATTTCCCTTTCACCATAATCATGTCCAGGACTCCCACTCTACCATCTTTGGTAGTGAGATGCTTTTCTCTCATCACCGTCCAGCCCAGCCCTTCACCACTTCCTCCAGAAGTTCACAGATCTTGCTGTGACTTTTCATTCGGTTCGACTTGAAGCTCAGAAGAAGAATATTTTTTTTATTTTGCATTTTGAGAATAAAGTCAATTCCTCTGTCATTTTTCATGCCTCTGTCAGCGCGCAGTCGCTCCGGGCATCCTTACAAGTGCTCAGTGGATTTGATGAAGTAGTCTGCTATTACTTTGGGGTTGTTGTTTGTTCTGTAGGCCTCCATCCACACTACATAGCGACTAAAACCATATATACAACCACTGATAGCAATGCTGTTGGGCTTCATCTTGCAAATTGATGTGACACGGTACGTTGGGACCTTTGTTGTGGTAGTGCCTGCATCTCAGACGCCGCACCCGCCTGAGCTCCACGCCTTCAGGATCAAACAACTTCATCAGTTGTCTTATTGTGTCTTGTGAACAACATATCACCTCTGAATTGCAAGCAGGTGTACCCAAAGATATCCTTGCATTCGTCCATTACCCGCTATTTCAGTTTGCACGAATGCGGCCACCTCTTCCAAGCTTGGGTGGTTTTTGCTTCTGAACAGACGCAGTTTTTGGCACAATTTCTTCAGTCCTAATGCTGAAAACTACACTGTATTTATGAGCCAAAAGAGAAAGAATTTCTTTGTTGCCGATTCTGAAGTACAATTTCATCAGTTCATCCATACAAGGCATTTTATAGAGGCAGTCATACGCGCTGTTTGATATCGTCTCAAAAGAAGATGTCAAGTTTATTGTCGACATTTCGACCTTATTCTCGAAAGGCAAAATTAAAATAAAATTTTCCTCTTCTGACTCAGTTCGACTTTATTCTCAACATTTCGACTTTTTTCTTGAAGTGCCTGATGGAAAAAAAGTCTTCCTAATTATCATATCACATGACCAGATTCATCCTCTGAAGCCATGGCAGTATTGTTATTATAATCACAGCTGTTGATCAGATTGTTCTGCACAATGGAGATTAACATGGAGATGCTTTTTTCTGGTCGGTCTCTTCTTTAGGACTTTAGCATTACAGGTAGAACACAGGTGATAACCCTCCTTTACCTAGTGAACTGCTCACCCATTCTTTGTCCCACTGTTCTCTGTGATTCAACCTCCATCCATCTTTATGTTTCTTCATCTCATTTTTACAAGCCTTTATTTATCAGCTACAAACATTCATAACTGATAAAAGGGTAAAACACCTCATCATTTATAAATGAGTTATTATAAGGCTCCTTTTACCAGTTAGAAATGGTAGTGATTAATGATTTACAAATTGTGTCTCCAGGTGTTGGAGAGCACTACAGCATAGGTGAAAACAAGTTGTACAAAGTGACATCTGATAAACGTCCCCAGGTGATATCACTTGGGCCGACATTGCCTAGGTCTGAAGAATACAAGTTTAAAAATTAAAAACATCAGTGTGTCTCAGGCCAAACTGTCAGTGGTGAAGTTGCATTGTGGGTAATGTACCCACCAGGTTTTGACAAGGAAGAAGAATAGATGGAATAAAGATGAAGTCTCTTATTCTGCTGCATCAATGTTTTTTATCTGTCCAAAGCTAAATGGGTGCAGTACTGTTTTCATTCCATTCATATAATAAAGGGATAGACGGAGGGAAAGGGGCACTTAAATCTTAGATTGGAATTTATTTGATTAAAAATGGGATATCCAGTCAGTGCAGTCTCACTGTTGTATCTTAGGACACAGCTTCAATGTCACAGAGGAAGAGCTTCCAGAATCAGTGAGTTAGCCTGGCAACAGGAGAAGTTATTCTCACCGTTAATGTTGTTTGAAAAAGAAAAAAAACTACATATGAATATGTTCCTAATACATTTTCATATGTCTTTTATAGCCAGGATTAAGAATATAACAAGGAGAACTGCAGCTCCACACACACACACACACACACACACACACACACACACACACACACACACACACACACTTTCTCACTGGCAGGTGTGTGTGATTTGAGTGTAGTGCTGTCAAAATATACCCTCAAATGGTTTCTTATCACCACCCTCTACTTTCCTCCTACATCAGCTGTCACTCACACGCAATTCTTATACAGCCAAGCATTGTTCGAAAGGCAGAGCCCCTTCAGGGTCGGAGGGGGGCGGCTTGTAGAGAGGGCAGTCTGACTGTTGCACCACTCCAGCAGTGCTTGAACATGACCCCTGCTCATTTGGAGGGTTAGCACGGTTGCCCTGATCCGGACCCCTGTTGGGAAGATTACTGTAGGAACCTTTTGCATTTCTGTTGTCAAGGTAACGTGATACATCGCAAAGTGCTGTTCCATTCCTCTTTGCACCATTTTGAGCACTCAGTCACTCACCAGGTGACGTCATTGAAGCCTGTGAGGGTTCAGGGCATTGGGATTGAGCCTTAAAGCTGGGTTAGGCAATCCAGGAGACATTAGCATGAGTTAGCTAAATTCTATAAAATTTTGCAATTGAAAGAATTCCAGCCCCTCCTCAAGAGAGCAAATGTACGGCAGAAGCATAGCCCCACAATATCAACATTGAAATTGCAAACATATAGGCTACACAGAGTACATACAAGCTAACGTTATGTGTAAAAAGGTGACAGCAATAGCCGGAGACATACTGTTTACAGGCTGTCTATACGTGGCTCAGCTTGCAGAGCACGTACCACAAAGGCTTAGCCCGGGTTCCAGTCCAACCTGTGGCCCACATGTCATCGACTCCCTCTCTCTCTCTCTCTCTCTCTCTCTCTCTCTCTCTCTCTCTCTCTCTCTCTCTCTCTCTCTCTCTCTTTGTCTACACTGTCGCTATAAAATAAAGCAGAAATTACAAAGAAGTCATCTTTACAAAGGTTGTCATGATTGTCCTCGGTAAAGCAGAGCTGTATTCCTGGTCTGTTGTACACAGTCAAATAGTGTCATGGTCATTTACAGAGTCATTTTTGGTTTCACTTTGAAGTAAATGGTTCAGATAATTGCTGTGATAAAAAAAAATAAAGAACCAGATTGTAAAGAATGAACAGAAATGTCCTTCAAATGGAAAGGTACAAATATACAAGGAGTTTTTTTTTTAGCAATTTTCTCATTTGAGTGAATCAACAATCTCCAGGAAGAAAACCTGTCAATATTTTTCTACCCTGTGTGCCGCAGAATGAATGTCTCTCTTTCTAACCTGTTTTTCTTTTTTTATTTCGATATATTCCCTCTAATCCTTCGCTCCTTCTCCTCCACAGACGATCCACGTGGCTATCGTATGTGCAGGTTATAATGCAAGTCGAGATGTGGTGACACTGGTTAAATCGGTCCTTTTCCACAGGTACAGCATTCCTCTTTTTTTTCCCTTCTTACACTAACCCATTCGCCTCGAAATTACATTTACAACTAATTTACACCAGCAAATACGTTTTGGAGGTAATACCAACAGGATTCCATTTTCTTATAGTGTTCTGATGAAATATCCGGAAAGCTGTTAAAATTTTGATACTGAATGTATCAGTAAAATTTTCACTGACAACATCCAGTATTTGAACTATTTTCCCCTAAATGTCCCTTTAGCATTATTAAACCATTTCTATGGTTATTTTTAGGAACTGGCAAAGGTTTAGGTTTGGTTTCAGAAATGGGGACAAAGTGAAATAAAGATAAAAAAATAAATGCTTTGTAAACCTCAGCGGGATTTTTAATTTGTTTGTCCTACTTAAAATCATATTTACTTTCCTTGTTAGCGATAAATGTATGATTGATAGATAGATAGATAGATAGATAGATAGATAGATAGATAGATAGATAGATAGATAGATAGACAGATGCTTTACTGTGTTGCCTGTCACCTGTGTCAAATTCTAGCATTTTCTTACAGAGAATATTACATGTAATTGAAAAATACAGATTCAGATTATTGGCTGGACCGCAACAGCTATAATCTGGAATGTGATTGACTGACTGATCATATTTCCACCACTGGTCAGCAGAGTAACTCGTCACTGAGTTGGAGTTTGTGGATCAAACAGGTTCTATAGGGGGTGTTTACAGCTGCAGTGTTGACAACTCAGCTCATTGTCTCTAGATTTCGAGAGTTTTTTCAAACAGACTGGGTATAAACCTGGTTCAGGTCTGGACCATGTATGGATGCTGACGTGGGGCTGAGAGCTACACCTCTTGTTACAGGCAGTCTGCTGAGCCGCTCTGGTTTCCCAGCTGCTCAGGAACCGCAGGAAAGAGGAGGAGCACTTCCAATACACTGAGCCTCTCCTCCATTACAGCAAATAAACTACTTTCATTACATGTCTCATTATTACAAAGGAGACAGAGGAATAACTAAACATAAGACACACCAAGCAGAGAGAGCAGGAGAGAGGGAGGGAGAGAGGTTCATTGGTACCGAGGCTTCGTACTAACGACTATGACCAACTCTACATATCAAACAGAGGGAGTTAGACATAAAGACCTGCCTCTAATAAAAGTCTGTGACGTTCTGGAGTTGAAGAAAATAAAGACTAAATTATTGTGGATCCAGACGGAGGCTGTGCTCTGTGTGAGGAACTAAATAAGAAAAGATAGTCTGTCTCGGGCCCCGGTGGTTCACCTGGTGGATCAACATTTGGGCTTTGCCCCTGATCTGAGTCAGCATGTCACATTAAAGACAGCTGAAATCACAGCTCAGTCTTTGTCTTTCATTTATGTGTTTGGTGATTTTGTCAGACAATGTCAGTTGAAAATCAGGATTTGACCATAGGCGGTTCAGACATATACTAGGTTTAGACCTAGTCTTTGTTTTTAGATAGTGAGGCAATTGTGTAAGATCTGAGTGGTGTCTGCCAGTCTTCTCTTCTGTTTCCATTCTATCCCAACAACCTACAGCAACAAGTTGGGATAGGTGTATGTAGCCTGTGAGCCCAGGCCCAGGGAAAAAAAAGTTTGTAAAGCACTTGTTCCAGTTACTGGATGGAAAAGACGAGCCTCCACTCACATAATTTGACATCAGGCGCACTTAGCTGTTAAACAGTGTGAAACATCACTTGATGTTCAATGTGTGCCATTAGTCTTATGTAAATATGAATAATGAATGCTTTATTATGCGTTGGAGATGGAGGGTCCATTAGTAATCAGTCAGTGTGCATTCAGCATCACCACTTCTAACAGCACTACTTGTTAATTAGCTCCAAAGTTGCAGGTGAATTAATCATAAATGCAATTATAATTTCATTTTATATCGATGGAAACTTCACTCTGACTCCTGCTGACAGAGACACACTCAGACTGTCATTTATTTTCTTTATGACCAGAGATACTTAAGCAGCACAGCGCCTGTTTCTATTATTTCATTCAGGCTGAAGTAACAAGACTTTTGTCCGGGTAAAATGTTCTCCCTAATAAAACAATGGGGTTTCTACACAACACTACTGTTGTGCTCATTATTAAATATTCTAATTGTGATTTATTAAGTGTCTGAATGGTTAAAAGTAAGAATCAAATCCAACTGAGTCCGAGTGAACATGTAACTTTTTTGAAACCATCTGAAGCATTCTCCCCATTTAGTCTTGTTAAAAATCATATACACACACACACTCTCAGTGCAACTTTCTAACTTACTTTTCATGGTCCACGTTTGTTTAAAAAGTCGAATAAAAAAAGACAGGAAAAAAAAAACTTTCAGTATCATTTTATCAAATTCTTAATTGAATATTTAAAATGCCTAAATTAAACAAATCAAACAACCACATTGTTATTTATATTCCCCTTTTTATGTATGTACTGTGTTATAATTAAATGAAAACATTTGGTAAAAAAGACCAGAAACTGGCAGACAGCAGTGTGTCCATAATGCAGACCAGCCCACAGGAAACTTTTAAAGTGAAGGGATGTCAGTCGGGGCCGTCAGCTCGGTTCTGCACCCAAGCTGTCATTCAACAACTTATTGATTGTCTGAGATCAATTGATTTTTTCTCTAGGTACAACCTGAAAATGTGATGAGTATAGAGGACCAGGGATGTCACAGGAAAAGTAATTACTTAGTATCGTATTTGAAAAAAAATTGTAATTGTAAAAATGTATAAGTTAACCATTAATCCATCCAGGCTAAATCCCAATTGGCCATGAAATGTAACAAAACTCTCTGATTGGTTGGCTAGCAACTAGAGGGTTTTACCAGCACAGAGTGTCACAGAGAAGCTAAATGACTAAGCTAATTGATTAGCTAATAGAACAAGCAGCTGGAAAAAGGAAATGGAAATCAAATGTATTCCCATTTTTAAAATGCCTTTTCAAATAGTTTTTCAAATTCTATTATTCATTTATGAATTACTAAATGTATTTAGAAATGGTTTAGTTAATGAGAGTTTTAGGCTGTTTTTGTAAATCAAATTGTAAATCTGAAGTATTTATCGATGGATTAATCGTTCATTTATAAATTCTTTCTATAATTCCTGTTTTTATTGCCTATTAGAATATGAAATTTAAGGAAACACTTTATTACTTTTCCTGTGACGTCCCTGGTCCTCCACAGTTGAGCAGCACAAGCTGTGAAATGTATCTAAAAGACTGAAAAAACAGCTGTAGGACACTGATTTATACATCTCTTCTTCCAAATATCAAATCCATGATTATTCACTTTTGTATGCTATTAATAACATGTCCCGTCAATATGGGTGTTTTATTCATTCATATACAAGTATTTGTGGCATATTGGAAAACTTAAGATGTCTTCACATGCGACCAAAACATCCAAACAAATTACTGTGTAACTTTTATTTTACATAAAAGATAACTGGCGTAGAAATGAAGCTTTTTCTGTCATTCTGAAAAGAAGACATGCAGTTCCGGTTTAATCCCCAGATCATTTTTACAAAATAATGCTCAAAGTGTAAAGCGAGTATGACTAACGTCTGAATCATACAGTGCATGAAGTTTAAAGATTCAACAGATTTGGTCAAAAATTTGTTTTTTTTATTGGGGACATGTCACCAGCAGCACAGCTGATATACCAACCCCTGCAGGCTGTGTTTAATCACAGGGGATGTTTAAATGTTGACTCACTGCTATGGACTGTCGTCTGCGTGTTGGGAATCCTGCTGTAGGACTGAAATGATGGGACATTGATTGTCAAACACAGGCTGACTCTCCAGCAAGATGACCTGCAGCTTTTATCAAAAAGTCACTCCGGCTGTATTTCTTCCCTATTGTTGATTTGTAATACAGTATTGAACATGCTATAAATTCCCAGTGAAACCAGATTTAAATGATGCAGTATTCCATTCTTTTCAGTCACCATGCTGCCAGTTAATTTCCAGCAGTGCTGCGTTGTTTAGTCTGCGCTGTAAATCATATTTGCCATCAGTTCATCTCTTGCCCCAGTAATGGAGAGCCCTGTAGAATAGCTCATTGTGTGACTGATGCTGTTCCACCTGAAAGATGGCCTCTTTCTGGTGTATTCAGTCAGACTGCAGGGCCTCTCATCATTCTGATGAGTCCGACAGCATCTGTATGTGACCTGTCGGGATAATCCATGGCCGTCCTCAGCAGAAAAACGACACATCAGTCCTTTTTTCAGAAGCTTTAAATGAGCTATGTCTCTCCTTTGTCAGAAGAAAAGGCTGAAGTGACACAGTGTTGTTACAGTGCTACAAAACCTCTCAGGGGGGGGGGGGGGTCAGGCTGAACAGTTGGAAGTACAAAGTGTCTGCTTTTGTCACCAGAGACCACAGTGCACATCTCGTCACTAACGGATATTCAGACATACCAGGAATAGACCCAAATACACAACTCAAACACAGTCCACTTTCCAAAAAATCCGGTCCTTTAATAAAAAACGAGTTCGGTACATAGGAGTCAGTCAGTAGAGGCAAATAGATCAAAAGGGCGAAGCTGAGGCAGAGTGAAGTCCAGAAAAAGGGTCAAACAACACTAAGAGACAAAAAACTAGAGAATAAAGGCCGGTACGTTCGCAACAACGGGCAAAGACGAACTGGCAAAGGTAGCAGGGAGCACACGGACTAAATACACAAAGGAGGCAGGGATAATTCGTGGCAGACAATCACAAAGGCGGGAAACACACAAGGGCAAGAAGTGGATCTGAAACGAGAGGAGAGTTAGTCACCTAAATAAAACAGGAACAGAAAAACTAAAAGATGACCTAGTGCCAAGGCGAGGCATGACAATCTCCTACTAAAAGTGGTTCCTTTTAAACAAAGCTGCGATCGAAAAGTCTTTTTTCTTATGAAGGTTCCTGTTTGTAGAAACAACAGAGCAGCTGTTTTATGTTTGTGACACGATCCAGAACTGATGGAAATCCTTGACTGATCGACTGAAGCCCAAATCCATAAATATAGATGATCTTTAAATCCTGTTTAGGAGTCATCATGAAGAACAAGCAGATTGAATTCATAGTTAATATCATCATCATAACTGAATACTATAGTCTATACATAAATGTTGTTTCACTAAATCCTCTCCCATTGTGTGAAGCACTAAAAATGTATTTCCTCTACTAAACAAATGTATAGAAATGTCAAAAGTTCCCATGTCAGGACACTATGTACTTATGTCTGCATATGATTTATTCTGATCTCTTGCACAGTTCCTTATTGTTATTTAATCATTATTTTAATGGCTGAACTTTCTCTATTTGTATATTTCTTTATACATAAATTTGGTTAAAAAAAAAAAAAAAAAGCTTAGTGTAAGTGCAGTCGGATTGTCTCTGTACTACAGTGTCTTTTCCAAAGTCCTTATGAATTCTCCTTCACATCCTTCCTTGACCTCATGATGTTTTCCATAGAGGAAAGGTGGTTAGGAAAGGTGATTATTTTGACTTTTCAACCACAGCCCATGACTACCTTTCCCCTGCCTACCTGTCCTGCTAGTGGGGCCATGTACAGGTAAATAGGAGGGCAATGATAAACAACCTGCTTTGATGATAAGTATGAGAACTTGTTGGACAAGTCAAAATGAGCCACACATTCTTATTCATCACCACACAGAAACAAAGACTTATCAATGAATGCATCTCTATTGTGGAATCAGATTGATTAACATACTAGGTAAATCATTGCAGAAATAATTGCTTAATAATGTTGCTGTGCAGAGGTTTTGCTTGTTTAGTAAAAGTTGCTCAGTGTGAATGAAAGGTCAAACAGAGAAAAGGTGAGCCTTGTAATTCTTGATCTAAACCAAACCAAACAGTGTGTGGTGCAGATACCGATGTGAGCCGCTGGTGCATCTGCATCTGCACTGATACTGGCATTATTAAGGGAAGAAGAGAATCAGTCTACATGATGTAATTCAGTGTTTGTGCTATTAGCTGCATTTATTCAGTCACGATGAGCTGATGACTCATGTTTAGTGCGACAGTTATTCCTGATAACACTGTCGTATTTGATATATTTAACTATTTTATAGCATTATCACAGAAGAAGCTCTGTGGTGACCTAATGTCAGTTACTGCTGACACTAACTCATCAATTCCTGATACAGATTTACATATTATCGGCTATCTGTTGTTTTGAGAAAGTGCCTGGAGGAAATAGATTTTGTTCTGTTCTGACAGTGCATGTTAATGATGACAAGCTTTAAGCAACTACAGCAGCAGCTCAGCTGAAGTGCACGGAAGAATATATAGAAGCACATAATTATAACAACCACAAAGAGACACAAAACAACCACAAAATGATGCAAAACAACCACAGAGAGACACACAACATAAACACATTGACACACAAAACAACCACAATATGATGCAAAACAACCACAAATACACACAAAACAACTACTAAGAGACACAAAATGACCACAAAGAGTTGGAGAATGACAGAAACACAGAAACAACTACAGCTACTACACAGACAAAGAATGATCACAAAGAGAGAAAATTACAACAAGATGTTGAAATGCCATTGGCTACTGTTTCCTGGGTCTTTCCTTGTCTCCATCCTTGGGCTGATTGGCTCATAATCCAGGAAAGATAATGAAGCAACATTTATAAATCTAGAACTACACAATACTGCTGGCTCTCACAAGAGGAGCTGTTCATGTTACAGGTTGTAGACAAGTTGAACGTGATGTTGTGTCTGTGTTCAGGTCAGGTTAATGGTAAAACTGAGGCTGATGTATAATAACAACACAACCTCATGAGATTGTTTCGAGGGTGATATGCAGAACTCTGACTTTAGAGATAGAACAAGTTGGATCATTGCATCCCAACTCTACACAGTCACTTCCTGTTTGCATCAAGGTGAATGCTCAGGTTCAGGGCAATCCTTCACTCCTGTCTTCGTCAATGAGAGCGCAATAAATCTGAATCTGTGTCCACTCTGAGAGTCTTAATAATATTAAAAGATTAGGTGATGAGATTATCACAGCCCCAGCCCTGATGAATCAGGATGAACTTGTCATATGTTCTTAGTCATTGATATAATCTCAAACATCCAGTGAAGGCCTTGTTGCTGTGGATGTCTGTGCTGCTTTGGCTGACAGTTTATATGAAGCCACAGTTCCAACACATTTTGACAGTTGCCAGCCTCCTGTACTTATTGAGCAAGTGCAGCTGACATATTCATTCCCAAAGTCATTCAGCACAAGACACCCCGGGGTGCTCACATCCTCAGTTCAGTGTCACTGTTTCTTGACCTGATTTGAATGTCCTGAATACATACTTTACACACCCTCCTGTGTGTGAAGTAAGAAACATACAGTCTTCTCTGGATGAAGCCCGTGGCCGGTTTCTACTCAAGGTCAAATTATTTACTCGTTTGGGGGCTTTCAGTCATATCAAACGGTTTTCATGAGCAAATGGAACTGTTGATGTAGGTTTAGGGTTCTGCTCTAAGGTTCCTGTGAAAAGACAGGATACATGTGCATATTTGAACCCCTTGGTTCAGTTTGCTTTCACACGGAGAAAAATTCAAGTGAACCGAAATGCATCATTACAAACCATGTGAGATTGGTCAGATTGTCTGGTTGGAGGAGGAAAGTAAACACAGGAAGAAGGTCACAGGAACCGTCTAGCTCAGGGGCCGGATGGACTTCAGAACTCTTTCGTACCAAAAACGAACCATTCCAGGTTCCAGAACCAGTTCGTTTGGGACGGGACTGAGACCACCTTCTCGAAAGGTTCTTGGTCCACATCCAAGTGTGATTATTGTATTCACACCTGCCCAAATGAATCGTACCAAGAGGGAAAACGAACCAGGGATCGGTTTAACCGGACTAAAACGTGCAGGTGTGAAAACAATCTGGGGGAACCCTCTGGAATTACCCGTATTTATGAACGAACAATCTGTTTTAACTAATTACAAATGATTGCATTGTTTTTGTTCATATTGAAACCTCATTCAAACATTCACAGTGTAGGTTGGAAAAAGTATGTGAACCCCTCGACTAATGACTTCAACAAAATCTAATTGGAGTCGGGAGTTAGCACACCTGGAGTCAAGTCAATTTTGGTCAACTGTCAACGCAATATCTTGAGAACTCCTCAAGGGAATCTCTTCAAATTCACCTGGACTCAAGGATGAACTGATTAGATTTTGTTGGTTGTCAGATTTTGATATTGTTTTCATGTCTTAGGAAAAATAAATAAGTAAATCCTGATGTACAATATGAACATTTGTAATTGGCTAGTCATCTGCTGAAACCCAGATCAATGGTTGTATTTCATGGTGCAAAATGACAGTAAGTTGTATTGATATAGCCTAACATACTAAAGTCTGCAGGGCTGCAGAACGGTTTCCCCTCCTAGTTAATCCTGACATTGTTCAACCTAAATTCACACAGTTTTCCTGAAGTCATAAAATAGTTTAGTGGAGCAGTGGTGGAGACGATTAAGAAATATCTAGTAGGATGTTTCTGTGAAAGAACATTGAACTTACTAAATCTTTTGTTTGTGTGTGTGTGTGTGTGTGTGTGTGTTTGTTTGTGTGTGTGTGTCCACAGGCGGAACCCCCTACATTTCCATTTCATCACAGACTCCATTGCTCAGCAGATCCTGTCCTCTCTGTTCCATACCTGGATGGTTCCTGCTGTCAGGGTTGACTTCTACGACGCAGATGAGCTGAAGGTGAGAAACTCTTCAACTCCAGATTCTCTCAGAAATACTGCAAGCTTCATTTACTCTCCTGTAGTGCTTGATGATCTGGCTGCTACACGCTTTGTTTCTACTGAGAAGTTCTGAAAAAACTTTCTTTAAGAAACAATGTTGTGTAAACGACAGATTTTTTAAATTCGGTCAGTTAAACAGCAAATGATCCCAACCCTGTGTTGGTGTGTTTCAGTCTGAGGTGTCATGGATCCCGAACAAACATTACTCCGGGATCTATGGTTTGATGAAGCTGGTGCTCACCAAGACTCTGCCGTCCGATCTGCAAAGAGTCATCGTTCTGGACACGGATATCACCTTTGCCACTGATATCGCTGAACTCTGGGCTGTCTTCCACAAGTTCAAAGGTAAAACAGCTTCTGTTTCCTAACCTATGTGACTGACTGGCATCATGTTGATAGATGAGGTAACCAAAGTTATTGTAGTTTGACGATAAAGTATATTTTAGACTGTACTTGACTCTCCAAACTACGTGTAGAGATCTGTCCGGCTAACGTTAGGTTTTTCCTTTAGCAGGATTTATAAAACGTAATATCATTATTAGCTGATGTTGACCCTAGTTTTCCCCTGATGTCAGTCACAGTCCCATTTGGTCCGGGGGTTTCAAACTTTTTATGCCTCCTCGCCGGCGACAGTCAGAGCCAGAGGCATTTTGTTTTCATGTTGTCCATCCCATTCTCGTGAGAGCGATATCTCAATAGCGCCATGACCAAACTTACTCTGATTTAGCACAAACATTCATCAGGACTGAAGGATGAAGGTCAAAGGTCAAGGTCATGTTGAGCAAACTAAACATGGTGTTGACCTTGTGAACACAATGTCGTAATGCCTTGAAGGATTTTCAAATTCTGCACCAATGTCCGCTTGAACTCAAGCATGAACTGATTAGAGTTTAGTGGTGAAAGGTGAAAGGTGAAAGTTCAAGGTTATGGTGACCTCACAAAACATGGTTTTATCCTCTTGATGTGGTATCTCAGGACCACCTTGAGGAAATTTGTTTGGACTTGGGACAAACATTCACTTGGACTCAAAGATGAACTGATTAGATTTTGGTGGACAAAGGTCAAACTTCAAGGTCACGGTGATTTCACATTCTTATCAGGAACGCCCAGAGGGAATTTCATCACTTCTGTCACACTGTGACCTCACAAATTCATTCACTAATTATGACACAATTTACCTTAAATGTCTGTAAGGATAAAATCAAGTGATGACATTTTGTATCCAAAAGGTCAAAGGTCAACTTTACTGTGACATCATAACTGTGATCATATTTCCTGCAACTTAGCTTGTTGGTGGATGAAACAACCACAGGGTGGTGATCCTAGTTCTTTTCTTTGTTTTTGTAATCATGTGGAGTTTGTGTTGGAGTCTGCGTTGTGCTGTGAGCTGGTTGGTTGTTGACGTTTGGGCGTGGAGGAGAGGCACTCAGGGGCGAGCATGAACGTCACCTCCTTCAGTCCTTTACACAGAAATCAGTCCACAGGCTGAGACAGAGACAGGGAGAGGAACCCTAACAGTTCTCTAACAGAACTGATGAGTTGGTTAATCTTGTGTGAAATGTGAAGACACATAAACTGTATAACTTTAAATGTCATTGTAAGTCTTTTCATTGACAGTTGGTCAAATAGAACCAACAGACCAGACCTCAGTTTGGGCTTTTTCTTTTTTGTCATTCATACTAATTTCACATTGTGATTGTCCAGTTTGTTGTGGTCTGGCACTTACTCATGTAAACAACCAAATGCAGCACTGAATGGCATCCAGGAGAGACTGTCTGAAAATGCGACAGCTGGTTTTCCCTCCACCTGCCAGTGTCAGAACAGCCATGAACACGTTCTGTTCCAGGATAACATACAGATACTGCTGGACACAGCCCCACCACACTGTGCCATTTTGCTGTTAGACAACCAGACAAGCACTTAATAGCATCCTATCATCTTTCCTTGATAGAGGAGCAGCAGGAGGTGTGAAGGCGATAGGACACCTTCCTGTGAGCATATCCCTGGGTGGTAGGGAGGAGAGACTGGAGTGAAGATTGAAGAAGACACTGCAAAATACATTTTGCCTTAACTATGTACCGTCACTGAAGAAGACAAAAGATAATTGTCTGAGATGGAATAACTTACTTTTTTCTTTAATTGGGCGAATGAACTGCAAAATGAATATATTTCCAAAAAAACCTGAACTGTTTTTCCAACAACTCGGCTCTTGTCTCAGTTTATATGAAGAAATAAAGCACCCAGGACAAAACCAACAGTAGCAAAGCCCTCTTGAGAAAGGTGGACTGAAAGACTTCTCTGAGGTGGCACGAACTCAAGCAGTGTGGACATGGAAAGCAACTGGATTCAGCACCATATGTCAGCTCTTAAAATTCTCTCCAGGTTCTAACAACAAACCTAATCATTGTCCACACAGGTAGAAACTGATCTATTTATGACAAATCCCCCTCTCACATAAAATCCCTCTTAACCTAAAGCCCCTTAGAGATGGCTTCACAAAACTACGGGTTGCTAAAGTTCCCAAAAAGATCTTCAAACTTTTGAATTGCTCTCCTTCCAGTACAGGCCACCCTGCACAGACCATCTAGCTCCTTGATCATCCCCAAAACCAACAGAGCTGCTACTTCAGGAGTACTGAGGCGAGCTCGAGCTTGAGTTTTAATTAACGACAACCCCTGTGCCACACACACTGCACGGCAACAGGTGATGCTATTTATTAAGCACCAAAATTAGAATACACATATGAACACCGTCTATTTTTCTTTTAGTCGTGCCCAAGATGTAAAACTGGAATAGGAACACTGATACATTTGTTCTGGAACTGCCCACGTCTAATTTATATTGGACCTCCATGTTGAATGTGCTTCATGACATCTCTCCTGGTTGACTCATCTATGATAAAAGTCAATAAATACCAACTCAAATCTATTAGAACTGGTCTTGTCACAGTCAACAAATGTAATGTCAAATTTAATGTCATGCAGTGGAAAGATGAACAGCCCCCTACGTCTGCTGGATGGACTAATGAATTAGCATCATGTTTACCAAACGAAAAGATTATAAAGTGAGGGGGAAGCCTGGAGAGTTCAAAAAGATCTGAGGGAGGGTTTCTAACATTTCTGGAGACGGTCCACAACATAGAGCTCCTTTTATTATCAAAATATATTCAAAACATTGATTCCAACCGTCATGTGTGAGTCATGATTTATACTTGAGTCAAATTATTACACAAGGTCTGTTATTTATTCCCTCTCTGCAATTATCGTGTTTTTTTTTTGCCTCCACGTTGGCGACACTCAGAGCGGGAGGCATATTGTTTTCTCGTTGTCTTTCTGTCTCATTCACACAGACATTTGGCACAAACATTCACTTGGACCCAAGGATGAACTGATCAGATTTTGGTGGCTAAAGGTCAAGGTCACAGTGACCTCGGAAAACACAGTTTTGGCCTTGTGAACACAATATCTCGATACCTATACCTCGAGGGAAACCCTTCACATTTGGTACAAACATTCAATTGGACTCAAGGACAAACTGATATTTGGTGGCAGACAACCTCGAGGAGGTCATTGTAGTTTTTATAATGTTGGTGTTCACACCTCAACTTGGCTTGTCTAGTTTTGCATTAGTTTTCTTAGTTTTTTTTTCTTTTCTTTTTTTTTTTGAGAAAAAAAGTCGAAATGTTGGAAATAAAGTCGAACCGAGTCAGAAGAGGAAGATTTTTTTTATTTTGCATTTCGAGTATAAAGTGAAAATGTCCAGAATAAAGTCGACTCCTCTGTCATTTTTCGTGCCTCTGTCAGGGCGCAGTCGCTCCGGGTGTCCTCACAGGTGCTGAATGGATGTGATGAAGTAGTCTGCTATTACTTTGGGGGTTGTTGTTTGTTCTGTAGGCCTCCATCCACACTACATAGCAACTAAACCATCAATACAACCATTGATAGCAATTCTGTATGGCTTCAGCTTATCATACGAATCGCTGTGATTGGACAGAATCATTCCTGTACAAATGCTGTGTAAATAATTCTCTTACAGTACTGAAGTATTCTGCTCAGTGTTCATTTTGGCTCTTTTCATACATGATCACATATGACCACAAAAAAAAAAAACTTAAGACTTGTAGCCTACTACTGTAACCTGTCATATGCTCAGGCTCTCTTTTAACTTGTTTTTACAAGGTCCCAACACACAAGTTCATTGTGTGAGTTTGTGCACATGTGTGCGTGTGTGTGTGTGTGTGTGTGTGTGTGTGTGTGTGTGTGTGTGTTTGTGTACTGGCTCGCCATGCCGTATCTTCCCCGCTGTGGCTCAGTGAGTTATTTTGCCTCCCATTCCTGCTCTACTGGTGTTTTGGAGACTTTTCCAGTGTGTAATTATCTCTCTCACAGCAGCAGTGTGATGCTTTCATCCTGACCATACAGACTCGGCTCGGAGCAGCAGCAGAGGGCCATGATGTACTGTGTTTTTTTTTTTACCTTTAAATCAGTAAATAGAGAAGCAGTCCCTTTCATTACTTTATATTCACTAATAAATAAATGTCAATTAGGTGGTAATCTGCATGAGAGATGAAGAAAAAGGAAAAAGTTTGGTTGTAAGGATCATCCGTTTCATCCGCACAGACGTGATTCCTTTTTCTTTGCACGGGTGCTGTACAGACTGTGAAGAAATCAGTGGTCGGACCAGAAGGGGTGTGTGTGTGTGTGTGTGTGTGTAATGAGGGTGCGCTTAGAGGGGGTGAGGGGCTGATCTGGCCACTATGTGATTTAACTTTTTTTTCTTTTTTTTTGTACATGGTTGCATTATTCAGCTCCAGGGCTGTTATGTTACGAAAGCAATAAAGAGAATCTTGATGAAAAAGTTTGAGGAAGGCATACAGGCAGGAGGAGGGAAGGAGGCGGTGGTGAGTCACTTCAAAGATTTATGGGTAGTGCGGTCCTATATCGCAGCACAGCCAGCAGGAGTTTGGATCAATCTTAATTAACAGTTGACTCCAATGTAGCACCTCTGCCACCCAGGCCTTCTGCTGTTCAGTCTGGCTGAACTGTCTATACCCATTATGTTTAAGGCATTACAACAATCCACTAAGGCACACTCTGTTACTCGGGCTTTAGCTCTGTAATACACAACATCATATAAGGACATTGAGAGAGAGCTGATGCGGTACCATGAGTCACTCAGCACTGTTCTTATTTCATCTAGTCTTTAACTTAATCAGCATCATATAATGTTAATCTCTTCAACACGGACATGTATTAATACATGTCATCATGCATGGGGTTAGGTAAGAACCATTTTACTAAGACATTTGAGAGTGGTCTTTAGGGTTAGACCAGTCTTAATCTGTG